AGATCCTCTGTCCACAGTGCCCGTGACGAGCCTCACCACCAGAACCACGTACAGAAACTACTTCTGTGCCCTGTGCAACGACGACGCGAATTCCATCCTCATGTGGGACATCGAAGCAAAATTGAATCTCGTCGACGACACGTCGAACAGTGTGAGTGCAAGTGCCGAAGTAATGGAACGCCTGGAATACAATATCGAAAAGGGTTCTTGGGGTGTTCAGTACGTCGACGCCGAAACAAACGATCAGCAGTTCCGAAAAATAAAGCTGAAGTTCGCCCTGCCGGCCGGACTGAAGAAGATGGTGAAGCAGTGCCATCCGAGGATGGTGTCCGACTGCGGTTCTTCCCTGAGGAGCTCCTCCCTTCGCCAAAGGTGCCTCGCCTACTACTCGCCCATCAGGGCTCGGAAGGACGGGTCGAGCGTCTTCGTGGACTACCGGAACATCCACTGTGCTCTGTGCAACGGCCTCAGGGTGAGGCCGAACAACGTCGCCTGCCCCAAGATAAGAAGCATCAAGAAGGACCGACCCTCCCTGACCCTCACCGTGCTGTTCGACATCAACACCGAGGGCGGAGGCAGCGTCTGCAAGGAAGGCCAAGTCCACGACCCCTTCTTCAAGAAGTGCAGGTCGCTGGTGTGTGCCATGCCGAATTACGTCATCAAAAACGGTGCCTGCGTCAAATCAGAGTAAATGGATGTAAAATATTAATATTATATAACATGCAAGTAATACCCTTTGAAGAATACAGCCCTGAAGAAAATCACACAAAAGTAAATAACCTAAAAGCATGTATTCCTTTTTATATTGCTTATGTATACTGGACTTGCCATGTCAGCAAGGTGAGATAAGTTCACCTATTTCCTTCAACCTGTCCTGTTAACATTTGTGTTCCATACTATACAATCCTACTTTTTTCCCATATGATGTAATTATGTTTCATGCAATCCTAATTTTTCCCATAAAATTCTGATTCTATTCCATATAATTCTAATTTTGTTCCATGTAATTCTGATTCTATTCCATACAATCCTCATTCTGTTCCATATAATACTAATCATGTCCCATACAATCCTAATTAATCTCATACAATCCTAATTAATCCCATACAATTCTAATTCTGTTCCATACAATTCTAATTCTTTTCCACATAATTCTAATTCTGTTCCATACCATCCTAATTATTTCCATACAATTCTAATTATTTTCCTAATAATTCTAATTCTTTCCCACATAATTCTAATTCTGTTCCATATCATCCTAATTATTTCCATATAATTCTGATTCTGTTCCATATAATTCCATTTTTTTTCCTTATAATTCTAATCATGTTTCTTATATTCCTTTTTTTTCCATAAAAATTCTAATTCTTTTCCATATAATCACAATTTTTTCCCAATATAATGCTAATCTTGTTTCATGCAATCCTAATATTTGATGGCTTATGAAGGAAAAGTTATGAAATTGTACAGGAAGAACACTTTGCAACTTTGGAGTATGGTTCAAAAGCTTTTACAAAAGAAGATATTTGGCGTTAAAATGTTGCACCATGCATGTGTTTGCAAGTTAATACTTCAGTTTAACAAAAAAGATAAAAATTTACGTTTTCTAAGATCAAATCCCTAAACCTAATTTTTTTTTCTATAAAATATATACTATTAGATAAGAGAATCTAAAAATAAGAGATTAACAGTTTTGTATACTGTAGATTGTTACACTAAATTACGTTATTAAAATGGCAAAGGGAATAGATCAATTTAAATTTTCGTATGATATACATACAGCAAACATATAAACTAACTTGAGTTCTAGGAAGTTTAAAAATGTTATAAAAGATTACTCTAAGAAAAGCAAAAATCACATGATTCATTTCGATTTATTTTATAAAATTATTATATCCACTGTAATTATCAATAATATTTTTACATGTTCATTGTAAACATTAATGTTGTTTTAAATTTCATTCAACATTTCAGGAATTTGCTTTCAGTTTGATTTATAATTTCCTGAATTATGATGTTCTAATAAATTTTATATTTTAAATCATGTGGTTTCATTAAGTTACAATTGTAATATATTTTGGTAATTGTAAAATATTTCATTCAATAAAATTTTACTATCAATATTAAATAATTCATTAATATATATTTCCTTTTTTTCCACAAATGAAAGTTAATAATTATTACATTACATGTTTTTCAGGTATATCTTAATTTACATAAAAAAGAAACTCAATTTAACCATACACTTTTTAAAAGTTATATCATATATATGAAGAAGTGGGAAACGATATGACATTAAAAACAGTTCCAAAGTGTATGAATAGATGGCGCTGTAAGCGGTATAAAGAAAGGGAATTCAGAAGCCAGTGCTATTTTGAATCAAAATGACAACGTATCTGGCATGAATTGCACATTAAACCAACTATAGTGTTCAATGTGCTCGGTTGTTTCGGTTTTTGGACGGAAAAAATGACTTCGGTCATGTGGATAGTCCATCCACCAAATTGAATAGGAAAAATCAATGGGTATCAGTAGTAATCAATGGGTCAATCAATCCCATCTAATTGGGTATGTGACCTTGTCGTGTTGGAGGGGATTTCCACTCACAGTGTCACAACTGTTGAATGACTCGGAGGTCCTTTTTTCCGTCCAAAAACTGAAACAATCGATCCCATTGAACACTACAGGGGGTTGAATGGGCAACTCGTGCCAAATGCGCTGTCATTTCGATTCAAACTACCACTGGAAGCCGAATTCACTTTCTTTAGGCCGTTTACAGCACCATCTATCAATACACTCTTGAACATTTTTTGATGCCGTGCGGTTTTCCCCTTCTTGAAGTATCTTCAGTTCAAATTTGAACTCATTCTGATGAGTCTTTTTTTACAACATTTTGAAAGTGGGACTTTAATTATATTCACCCTGTGTGTGCGTGTTAGAAGATCTGACATTGCCAATTGTTGATTTTTATTCAATATCATATGCTTACTTTGTGAGTTTTATTGGCTTTAAATTTATATAAAGGTTATAAAAATTAGAATTCGAAAAACTACAAAAAATAAGATAATCAAGATATTGTACGTAATTGCTTATTTGTTAATGGATGTTTAAATTTTATAGACATCAATATGATACACTTGCAAAATTTAAATATCACATTACATTTTTTTTATGAATTCACCAGAAGATATGACCTGGCGTTGCCATGCTACATAAAATAAAACACTATTAATTTGATAAATTTCATAAGGAAAAATATCGGTGTAAATGTAAATGATTGTTTGGCAAACTGTAGAGGAAAATTTGTCTGAATAACTCGTTATCAATGAAGAGTAATTAGAAAATAAAGCATGAATAAGCATATGTAATAGAGACTAACAAGAAATGTATTTTTGAAAAAAGAATGCAACTCCATTTTCCATTCTAATTTTAAGAAAATGTTTAAAGACACATAAAAGAAATACAAGATATGACATTAGATGGCGTCAGGCACAAGATGAATTTTTAGTTTAATTAAAAAATTAAAGAATAACAATTTCGAGATTTTTTTCGAGAGATCGTTTTTGAATAGAGGGATGCGCACATACTCTATGTTTTTTAATACACTGGTTTTCACCACTTTGGCCATTCTAAAATAAATATATTTTGTAAAAGTGGGATACATTTCAAAGGAAAATATTCAAGTCGGGTTGGCTCTCTCCTTGTTCTACGTAATGCTACATAAGATACTATAGAAATTGTAGAATTGAATACTAAATTTGTACTTTATGGCAAAAGTGAAACATATAGAAAAAATAATTTTGAATCTTAAAGATCTTTTCCATTCACCGTAGACATAGGCAGCATTTGAATCAAATAAAATATAATAAACTACAAGGGAACATATTTAATGCTTTTCTACAATCAGTTCCAGTCTAAACAAGTTGTTGTTGTTGTTATCGTGTCCATGCTTTTCTATAATCAGTTCCAGTCTAAGCAAGTTGTTGTTGTTGTTGTTGTTGTCGTGTCCATGGATTTAAAATACTATTATTAAAGTCAGATGAAGTCAAAAGTCTTCATGATAGCTGCCGATAGCAAGGGCGCCGTTTCACTGTATGGCACTTCTCTTAAGTTGGGCTCGATTGGCGCCATACCCAATTGCAAAACATGGGGAATGAGCGGTGGAATGTGCTTAGGTGTTAGGAAAGCGTTGGGGCAGGGGATGTATTCCCTGCTCTTGTCTGGGAGAATCTTCGTCCCTCTGTAATGATTAGTTCTGAGACAGCTGAAAACTGATGTCAACTTCCTAGGGCAGTTGAAGTCCGTGATGAGTGGCTTCTTAAAGTTATGAGGAATGAGTCGGCTATTGGCAATTGCGTTAGCATCTGCAAGTGCGATGGTAGTCCTGGGAGACTAAACAAGTAATTATAGATTTTAATTTAATTTCTTCGTATCAATAAAGTAATTCGTTTCCCTCCATACTCGGGCCGATTCCTTTCTAAATTTCAAACTGATACCCAATAAAAGCGACTGCGACATGCTTAATACTATGTGTCATTATGGCAATCCAAAAAATATATATAATTTCAAATTCATTCGATTTTTTCTTTTTTTTTCGGATTAAAAGCGGAAAATAAAAATACATTATCAAATTAATAAACTAATTCTAATCCGCTTACCAAAATTTAAACACGCGATTCAAATTCGAAATTGAAAAATCTATTGTTGCTGTTGTTTCTTATCCCACTTGGCAGGCATCTAGGCCAAGCCCACGAGCCCATATGGACTCATGGTTGAAGGGGAAGAAAGCAGCTACTGTTGTGATGGAGCACCCGTAGGTAGAAGTCTGACTTTGGCTCCGTGACGCTCTACAGTCATAGGAGACCGGACTTGTGGCTTAAAGTGGATTCCGAACCACTACAAACATCCATGGCACCGCCGGGACTCGAACCCGAAACATGTGGCCCCGAGCGCCAGAGCGCTATTCACTCGGCCATTCAGGTCCCGAAATTTTGGATGCCAACGGCACGCGGTGTTCCCAGGTGGTCACCTCCCAAGTACTGGCCGCGCCCGATGATGTTTGAATGCGGGGATCGAACGAGAACCGGTACATTCAACATGGCAAAAAATGATTACTCCCCGGCGGTGAATCAAACCCCGGTCTCCCGCGTGACAGGCGTGGATACTTACCACTATACTGCCGAGGATATTATGGAATACCTATACTAGGAAAAACTACGGATATTAGTAAAAATTTACAGACTATAAAATCCCACTTTTTATCCAAGGGTGAATCCTTCTGTCACGTCGTCCCAAATGGCGGTGACATTATTTGACTGTGTGTAGAAAAAAATTGTGTAATGCACCTTGGGTAACAATTGTAGAGAGCATTGGGCGCCTGCATCCGCATCTGGTCAAGTGGCAAGTATCAAAAAACCAATTTAATCGCTTTTAAAAAAGGGATTCATTTTATGGCAATTTTTTCCCAAAACTCTCAAATTCAACTCACAAATTCACATAAAAGAAAGGTTGATAAAAACAATATGAGTATTAAACTTTATATATATATATATATATATATATAGCCGAGCAGCTGAGTGGCCGAGAGGAAGTATATCTAACACACCCTGAATATGTGTCAGACTCTCACCCGGAGAGAGAGTATCTTTCGCGCACCCCGCACGCGCCTGGGTATCGGGCTCTCGGCTTAGAAGTGGAATCCTTCTATGAATCTGTAATTACCTTCCTTTAAAATAGTGTCGATCTTTAATTGAGTGTGATTAAATAAAGCTGTGAGTTCTCGAACCTGTGTCTCAAGTCTAACCCAACCACACCCAGTCAGAATATAAATGCTAAATGCTTACGATTAAAAAAAAAAAGTCTTTTTTAAAAAAAAAACTTTGTAAGAGAAAAAAACTAGATCTTTTCCTCCTTTCTCGCCAGCTGCATGGAATAGTGATGGCCGAGAGTAAAAACTGGTGCCAAAACTCGCCAAGCTACCATCTCATATATTACATCTTAAAATACATATACTAATACATATACTAATTATTCCACAGTGCCATAGAAGCTCATTTTTAACGTAAGTAAAGCAAGTGGCCCGTCCAGTAAAAAGGAATGGCGCAATGGCCATGAAAATGACCAACCATGGCGTCACTCCTGACAGTGGTCAGCGGCGATTGTACACATCACGTGAGGTGTATAATCACGTGAGGATTATGTTTGTTCCTAAGTGGTAGCCCCGATGCCCCAACTCTGTTGTATTACTACGCCGTGGTTTTGACCTCATCCATGAATTTGATATAAAAAAAATCTTTAGTTTAGCAGTCAACCTAAATTTAAGTTGCTTGTGACATTTTTTTCCCTTTAAACGTAAACTTGAAAGTTAGAAATTCCTGGTGGGAATAATATAATAATATTATTCCACTGGTTGTTTTCCCCACTGCCAATTTAATGTATTTCTGCTATTACAGTTTGAGTAAACTCCTCCTCATCATCGCAACAGCCCCATGGTAGGCCAAGGCCGTCTGCCGACTGGCAGATTTCTAGACAGAAGGTGTTTTTCTTTTTACGGAGTAGGGTTGTCAGCTCAATGCTCTATCGTCGTATTAGACCGGGATCTACGGTTTACAGTGAATTTCGAACCCCTACACACATCCATGGCACCGCCGGCACTCGACCCGAAACCTGTAGCACCGAGCGCTAGCCACTCGGCCATTAGGCCCCTTTGAGTAAACTGCTTACATAAATTTCTTCAAATTATTAAATGTCCTTTGCTGTAATACCGTGCAGTTTTCCACATCAATTCAGAAGATTTAGCAAGCCCATAAGAAACTAACGACATCTTATCTTCTTAAACTTAATTCAAAAATTAAAGATGAATTTTATGAATGAATACCACGCTAGGAAAAAACAATTGTGGATTGGCGGGTTTCTTCCACTACTTCCACAAACAATGAACAATGCGGTGGAAACCGGACTTGATGTCGAGTTTCTTTAGGATTGCGTCATTCCTATTCAAAATCACTGTCACGTGGTCAAAGTCACGTGCAATGCCACGATTGAAAATATTTTTAATGAGTCTTTTTTTTTTTTTTTTTTTTTTTATGGTGAGTAGTTAAATCAATTTACTTCTTCATCTATTTTGAATTTATCCTAAACAATGAATGCTAACATTTTCATTCCGACTGTTATCGATGTGTTTTTTTGCAAACTTCAAGTATCTTACTCTGAAACAGTAATATTAAAATATAACACAAATGATCATAAAAAGTAATTTTTGAGTTTATATTAATATCATAAATTTTTTAAGTTGTTTTTAAATAAAAAAATTGATTACTTAACATAATTAACTGATTCGATTGGAAGCGGCCTGATGGCGAAATGGCTACCATCTGCCCTTTGGTACCACAGGCTTCAGGTTCGAATCCTGGAGGTAGCATGGATATTTATTGGTGATTCGATTTGGTTTGTCGCTCTACGGTCATTTTGTGCACACTTTATGCTAATTAGACCGGGATCTGTGTTACCGAACCCGAGCCACTCGGCCAACTGGCTCCTTCAGCAGGCTCCGGAATCCTGGCGGTGGCATGGATATTTGTGAGTGGTTCGGAATCCACGTTAAACTGTAGGTTCCTGTCTAATGAGCCCAAAGTGTGCACAAAACGACCGTAGAGCGACAAACAAAACCAAACGATCTAGGAAATCCTCCTGCCACAAACAGAAAAAGGTTATCCTGCATATAAATTTGAAATGCTGTTTTGTTTGTTTGTCCTCCATACAAATGCACTGTTTTCTACCTAAGGCATTCCAATTTAGCTCGTACATAGGCTTGGAGATCGCCTCTCCCCCTCCCTCTGATTCCCACTCCATATTTGATGTCAGCCCCTATAAATTCCCATTTAAGGAGAAGGTTCGGAGGAATTTTTAGGAGCGATTTTTATAGATATTCTTTGAGTCCAACGATATTGTCATTTTCTATGACCAGTATAAATGCGGGATTTTTAAAGTTTAGGTAAAAAAGAGGGATTTAAGGGATTTAAGTTTAGAGATTAAATATTCCGATACACCATATGTTTTACATTAGCTATACACACTCTTCATTGTAAAATCTTCATTAACCCCCCCCCTTTTTTTTTTTTTTACCAAATATTAATAAAAACAAATATATTTTTGAATTTTCTAATTACTAAATTTGTCTTATTCATATTATATCCCATTTATTATTTTCAGATGAAATCCTGTAATACCAAGTCGGTCAGGTATTCTATCATTGTAGTAGATGAGTAGTTTGATTGTTTGTGTAGCTGGATCTGGGCGTGGTCGAGGCGAATCACAATTTTAAGAACACACAGATTTATTTTACAAGCACGTAGACAACACCATAATAACAATTTAAGATAGACACTATTTAACCCATTTAAAACATCTAATTAAAGATTCGTGGAAGTATTCCACTTCTAGGCTGTTGTCAATAAAGTGGCTCGCTGGAGAGCGAAATAGACTTCCTCTCTGGATGAGAATCCGTAGGCCAATTGATGAGCAGGATTGCGCTAATTATACCTTGTCACGGAGTGAGAGACTGTAAATGAATCGTCTCTGAGGCAGCAGCGCTGGTCCTCTCTGGCGAGAGTCTCAAAGTCTACTGACGATTTCTTCTGTACACCGCCAGGGGCTCTCTTGCAGTGCGTAGGAGGAAACAGGGTTGAGTAGGTGGAACCACGGTTACATCATTGCTTTTAAAATACAGTTTGTTTTTTAAGGTGGGATATTAATTATAAAATGAAAAGTATATGATTAATTTCCTCTTGTTTCTCTGATAAAAATTAAAAGAAGATATTTTCAAAAAATTAATAACGAACGAAGCTGTGCTTTTCACATTCTGTTGATGGCGTTAAAACTGAAAACAGACATGCTTCTACTTCATATCTGTTCAACGCTATTAAAATAGCAGCAATAACTGAAAATTTAGACTTTATCCGATTTTTATACAACTCAAAATTAAATGCCTGGCCTATTTGACTAATCCAGTTTACAAAATTATCCTACAAACCCAAGGTTAAGATTACTATATTACAAAAAATTATATTATTGTATTACTATAAAAATTTTCCTACAAACCCAAAATTACCCCTATTAAGAAACGTAAATATTGTGTGGGTAAAACCAAGTATCCATTACTTAAATGATAAGAAAATCCTTTATTTCTTTCCCTTACTCAGAAAGCAAACGAAAATATTAAAAAAAAAAAATTTAATGACGAAAGAGACCCTTTTTGCAGACTGTTGATATCACTGAGACTGAAAGCAGACATGTTTTTATCTCATAAGTGTCAACACCGCTAAAACAACAACAATGACTGATAAATATCCCTTACCGATTGCTACTGCAACAAAGTGGGATTTTAAAATACCGTGCTCCAATGTTTTTATTTTATATATGTGCTTGAAAAAATAAAACAATTAGACCCGCGAAGATTCTAGAATCCCAGCTACATCTTTGAAGCAACAACCTTATTGACACCAAGAGCCCCTTCCGACCGCAGAGGTGTCGTCCGGCTGCTCGTGAAGGCGAGCCGTGCACGTGCACGAAGTGTGTGATAAAGGTTCGGAAAAAACACAACCACCACAACACGATTGAAAAAAGGGAAACCAGAAACCCGTGAAGGTCATTACGCCTGAGAAGAAGGGGAAAAAAAGGGCACGAAAAGAGACCAACCAGTTCTGTCCGCAGGAAAAGCCTCTCGAACGCCTCACAACTGTAAACAGGATGAGCAGAGCAGCACCGAAATCCGTTCGGTGATAATCAGAGAAAAATAGTGGATACAGTGTTGTACTATTCTCGTCTCACACGTGCGAAGCCTTCCGACATCAACGACTAAAGGGTAATGACGACTTACTTTACTTAATTTCTGATTCTAAGTTAAAGTTCCTCTTTATCTTGGGATGTGATTTTCCTAATGATCATATCGCTCCTATTTTATGATAACAAATCTTATAGAGAATTATTAACGATTTCTAAATTTTTCTTAAGTAACTCTTGAAGAAAGTAGATTCGGATTTTGTTTACAACGTCTATATTTTACTTAATTAATAATGAAGTGAAGTGAAATCAATATATATAT